AGCAGTGCCAAGGCTGTGCAGGGGTTACCGTCGTGTTTCTTGCAGGGCTTTGGAGCTGCTGCAGTTTGATCTGAGCCCCAGTACTGCTGCAAATTAACACGTTAGTACTGCCTCCAAATGCGTACTTTCCGTTCTTTAAATACACGGGAGGAGTAACACTCCTTCACACCAGTCAGTAATGGACATCCCGCTCCACGTACTGTTTTGCTATCCTAATTCCTTCCAGTTTTGCCTTGGACCTAGTGATTGACGCTGGTAACCTGGGTGGTCTGGCAAAGTGGTGTTCCAGCAGGGGTTTGACATGTGCCAGCGCTGCTGCAGAAAGCAGCCTCGACCTGCTGCTGCCTTCCCTGACCTCCTCCTGGGAGGCAGTCTGAAGGCACAGGGGAGAGGGCAGCAGAGAGTTGGAAGGGTGGGGAGAGGTTTCTTTCAGCAGCAGGGCTGGTCTGTGCTGTTGGTGGGCTGTGGGCCTGGCCTCTCCAGGGGAGGTGGTTCTGCAGTGGAATGCTTGGTTTTGCCAAGAAATGTTTTTGTATTTGTTGTTGTGGTGTGGGGTTGGTTGTTGGCTTTTTTTTTTTTTGTTCCTTTTGTTTTTTTTTTTTTTCTTCTTCCTCTGAATACATGCTTTAACCTTTGCCTACTCTGGTACTTCAGCGAAGATAGCTGTGAGTGTGGACAAGAGAGAGGCAAAGTTTGTAGTTGTGATGAGCTGCTGAAGGAGCTTGTTCTGCCATCCTCTAAGAAGGTTCTGCCTTCCCACAGTGAAGTTTTGCTCTTTTTTTGTGGAACTGCACATAGCCAGAGGAGTCATTTTGGGGGCCTAGATTATATGATGTCTTGCGGAGAGGGACTGTCGTGGTTTAACCTCAGCTGGCAACTGAGCACCACACAGCTGCTCCCTCACCCTCCCCCCCACCCTGCAGTGGGATGGGGGAGAGAGTCGGAAGAGTAGAAGTAAGAAAACTCCTGGGTTGAGATAAGAACAGTTTAATAATTGAAATAAAATAAAATAGTAATAGTAGTAGTAATAATAATAATAAAATATACAAAGCAAGTGATGCATGATGCAATTGCTGACCACCCGCCAACTGATGCCCAGCCAGTCCCCGAGCAGCAGCCCCCCCAGCCAGCTTTCCCCAGTTTATATACTGGGCATGATGTCACATGGTATGGAATGTCCCTTTGGCCAGTTTGGGTCAGCTGTCCTGGCTGTGCCCCCTCCCAGCTTCTTGTGCACCTCCAGCCTTCTCAGTCGGTAGAGC